AAATGTCTGATCCCAGAAATTGGGACCTGAAGTCAGGGAGAACAAAGGCACAAGAGGTATGAACTCAAAACACATGGAAAAAGCAATGGGAATGGAGACAGCAAAGCACTTGGAGGCTGATGATGATTCCCTATGACAAAATAAGGAATTGCCCTAGTCCTTGGCTATTTGGAATTTCCAGCCCTTAAGTAGCTCCTTGGAGCTGGAAGAAGGGGAAGGACATCAAAGACTGCTGATCCAGCCCCCTTCCCATCCCTCTCTCCATCCATAACACCCCTGTGGATCTGACTGGAGAGGAAAGGACTCCCAGACAGAATCCCAGCTTCCAGCTGCAATATTCCTTCCTCTCCTTCTTCCCACAGCTGCCAAGGATGGGCAGTGATTGCCTCCAGCAGGATCCATGCAGCATTGCTTCCTCCACGCAGGAGCCATGAGAGGGAGCTTTGGCACAAGAAATGAGGCTCTTCCTGAAATCCAGCAGCTCTTCCCAAAAATCAGCACTGCACAGGCTCTGGGAACAAAGGAACAAGCCCAGTTCCAGGCAGTGCTTTCCAACTGCTTCCTTCAGAGGAATTTCTCAGCAGAGCAATCCATGCAGAGGTGTTGCTGGCATTCCCAATCTTCCCTTTTCTGCAGCACTGTAACAGTGCAAGCAGGGAATCACAGAATTCCAGAATCATTTGGAAACTCCCACCCACTGCCGTGGGCAGAGACATCTTTCCCCAGCCCAGGTTGTTCCAAGCCTTATCCAACCTGGCCTGGAATATTTCCAGGGATGAGGAATCCACATCTCCCTTGGCAATGTTTGGATGTTACACAAAGTCTGCAGTTACAACCACTATCCCTAAACCCATTGAAATTAAATATTCCTGCTCCCATCCTGCAAAGCCAGAATGTCCTACTGCCAAGGGAAGAATATCCCAGAATGGATAAGGATAAACCCAGCATAGAGGGGAGCTCCAGCCCAGCAATTCCCAAGGCAAACACAGAAGGGCTCTGCTGCCCAATGGCAGCTCTTGGATACAGCCTCAAAACACAAATCCAAACACACCCATTCCAGCAATAATTAATCTCACCTAATTCCCATTGCTAGGAGTAATCCTGATTATTCCTATGTCCCAATTTGTAAATGAAAGTTGTGTGGATGAGTCCATGGAAATAATATTATCTGCCTGCAGGAAAAGAGCAGCAAAAGCTGGGAAAACATCAAAGTGCATGAAGCATGTGTTAGAGATACTGATCCTGTATCCCCACGCTCGGAGCTTTTCCTCCTTCTTACATGCCCTTGGAAACAGATTTCCCACTTTAATCCTGCATGGGACCATCAACTATTCCTGGAATATAACATCCTAAAATAATAGAACTGGGAATCACTGGAATTCTGTAAACACACTCCCCACCCTCTGCCAACCCAGCCCTCTGCAGAGACCAAAATACCTCCCATAAATAGGAGGCATTTTGCTTTGGAAAAAAGTTCCTAAAAAGTTCCAAGAATCTCATTTAACTGCTTTGGAGTTGTTTTCCTATGTTTCCCATGTGCTACCAAGGATGTAGAATGAGCCATCAGCACCCTGAGAGAAGGGAGGGATGATGTGGCTCCTGAAATAGGTGAGAAGAACAGGGAGCAAAGAAAAGAGAGACGTTTTAGGAGGAAATGAATAGTCCAAATGGAGAAGGCAGCCCTGATGGGGAAGAAGCAATGATAAATACCAGAAAAGGCCTGGTATATCCTCAGCACTGCAGGATCCTTCCCAAATTTTTGGCACTGCTGCAATGAAAGCAGCAATAAAATCAATTTACTGGTGCAGAAGAGCCTCAGCTCCATTCTTCTGCCAAGAAACCCTTGGAATAGTTTGTTGTAAAGGACCTTTAAAGGTCACTCAGTCAGTCCAAGGAAGAGAGATCAGAATGGATTTTAAGGATGAAGCAAGGAATGGGTGACCTGTTGGCCAGTCTGGGATCTGAGGTGTCAGGCACTTCCAGCACTGACTCTGCACAGGTTGGAACATCCTGTTGGAGTATCATGGGAATATCCGAAGATCAGAAGGCACAAAGCTGAAGAAGCAGAAGCCAAAAGATTTGGAAAACTGGAGATGCTTCGTATTCCCAAAGACAGAGCAGACAGAGCAGGAAGAGAAAGCAGGAAGTGTACAGTACAGATGAAGGAGGTAGCTGCAGCTTCAACATTTATTTCAGCATTCCAGGTGTGCTTTTCCAGGAGGATATGGGAGACCAGCCTTTCCAAATGCCCAGATAGCAAAGGAGTGATGGGAATGGAGACACAGAATGCTGAGGATCAAGACACAGAGACATTTAAAGCAGAAATAATTCCAAGAATGTGGATTTCATTTGGGAGGATTGGGATCAGATCTGTTTGTCAACAAAAATCAGGAATTATCCACAATGGGATACAATGAGAACCTTCAAGGGGCTCTTTTGTGCCTTTACTCCTTGACCTGTGGCAAGCCCAGCTCCCAGGAATTACGTATTTTCAGGTTTTCCAAAATCCAGTAATCACAGAGCAAAAAAAAATGGAGCATTCCAGACTGCTTCCTGTCAGGGCAAGGGAAGGCCATTCCTATGGGATACAGTTCCAATGGCACAAAGAAGGAAACAGTCACCCAAGGACTGAGTTTTCCAGGACATGGCACAGGAACGTCAGGGAAGGGACTTTCTAGTGCAACATTTGAGCCATGGAACATCAGCAGGTTCCCACGGGAATCATTTTAGGAGGGAGATATCCCACTTTTCCTCACCTGGAGGCACCTCCCACCAGTAGTTCCATCTAATCCCAGGTATCCATGTCGCTCCCAGGGATAGAGATGATCCTTTTCCTTTGTGTTTTAAAGTGCTTTGCAGATCCCAAACTCTGCCTTAGTGCTAAGGGTTAATTCCTGCTGGGAATAAGGGCAGGAATGAGCTCCTTATCCCGACTCCTGGACCAGAAGGGGAGCTAGCCCGCTAGCCCCAGCCTCCCTTGCCCCTCAGCTCCCCTTTTCCCCTCAAACCTTCCTAGATTTTTGTGCGTATTCCTGAAAAATCACCTCAGTAGTGTTTCCTGAGTGCAGGAATTCCTCTTTACCATGTGCTGTGCTCCTGAACCATCTGCTCCCTGCTCCTTTTTTAAGGACCTACAAAAACAAAAAGAACTTCTGGTTGCTCAGAACAAAAGGATTTTTCCTTCTCCAAATCCCTCTGAATCCAGAGGGGCTTCCTCCCTCTGTTTCCACTCAGGCAAAGGTCACCTTTGGAACCTTAAACCACAGGGATTATGTTTTCCTGGCCACTTGAAGCACTTCTGAAGTCTCTGAAACAGGTAAGGAGCAGGGGCTGGAGCATGCCACGCTGAATGCAGTGGGATATCAACACTTGGACCCAGAATCCAGTGGAATTCCATGCACCCAGGATTATTTACATCAATGCACACTGGTTATAAAGTGCTCAATGGCATTGGACCCCACTGGCTCCCAGGAAGCACAGCCCTGACCTATCCCAGCACTTCCACAGCCCACAGGGAGACCAGGAAGCCTGGGATTTGCCGGGAGCTGAGCTCCTGGAAAGCACAGCATCCTCCTACAATGGAAATAGCACTGCTAAGGAGGGGAAAAGGAAGCAACCACATAATTCTAAGGAAGTTAAACCAGGAATTCCTTTTCCAGGGAGGAAGGATGGAGCTCTGGGGAGAGGCATCAGTAACTGCTGAGCTTTGACGGGGAGTAGTGGCAATTCAAGGCCTTTTCCAGGTCCCAAAAATGTTTCATTTCCTAGGATAGGTAGTTTTCCTCCTGCTCCCATCATTGGAAAACCTGCCTGGAGAGGTGCAGCAGGCTCCTCTGGGCCCGGAGGCTCAGGTAGTTTTCCTAACTTGCTCAAACTTTCCTATATAGAATTGTGCAGGTGGGGAGAGGGGGCAGGTGGTTACCCCCAAATCTAAGCCACTTGGGAAGCGGGGGGCTTGGAATTCTGCCTGCCCATCCTCTCTTCTCTCAGTCCCCAGAGGGAACAGCACAGGAAGGAGAGGATGACCATGGATTTTCCTTCGGGAAAGCCTCCCTGTTTCCTTAATAAATACCTTCGAACCAGCTTAGCAGCTCTGTAAACATACAAGAGATTGCAACCCTGGGAAAAAGTCCATATTTTCCCTGAATTCTCAATGACAGAGGCTGGCACTGATCCACAGATGCTGCATATTGGGTGGTGTGAGGACCCTCAGGGATCCAGGAGAGAGACTTCCAGACTCCACAGGGGCCTCGGAAATAATGCCAGGTGCATTTTGCAGTTGATCCATCCACATCCATGCAGCTCTGAGATGAGAATCCTTGCAGTCCCACAGGAATGTCACCAGGTTGGAGGCGGTCCAGGGAACTGAGGAGTGATGGGGGTGATATCCAGGAGAACTTTCTGCCAAAGGCAGAGGGATTGGGCTCTTGAGAACAGCGTCCTTCCCTCTCAGGAGTGCTCAGGGAAGAGAAACCATGGTGCCAACCCCATTCCTGCTGCGCCTGGCCGGGAAGGGGAGACTGGATTTGGGGGGAATACAGCCCCAATGGCTTTAAAACAGGAGTGTCCTACAAAAGCAATCCCCATGGAAGTGTGCCGAATTGGATCTTGGGCCGGATCCGTGGTAGTGCAACAGGGCCCAAAGTCTCAATCCGCTCATTTCCCAAAACCACCAGCTCGGTCCCGAGGAGAGTGATCTCACCTGGCTCCCTCCTGCTTCCATCTATCCAGGTATCTCACTCCCAAACTCAGCAGGTGCCCCAGGGCAAGGAATCTGCCTCTGGAATGAGACAGGCTGAGGTAGGGAACTTTAGTGCCTCAGACCCTCTCAGGCCCCGTGGGGCAAAGCTTCTCCCAGCTCCAAGCACAGGATTCCAGTACAATCCATCCTCCAGACACCACCACTGGGTCACCCCAGAAAGGATTTTTCCAGCTGTCTCCTCTGATCCCAACTGCCCGATGACAGCCTCCTCCATGGATTATCCCACTTGGATCATTCCACCCCTTTCCCCTGCACTAAAGGGCCGAAATCATGAGGTCGTCCTGCTTGGCAGGGCTGGTTACATGTCCGGAGGGGGTGGAAGTCCGGATTTTATCCGTGGCCAGGCATTCCTGGCTGCTCACACCCGTGGGAGTGATATCCATGAGTTCTCCGGATGAGCTAAGGGGGAAGGAGGGTGACACGGAGATTCCCGACGAAGGATCCGTCGAGCCCGCAAACAACCTCGGGGGCTTTGGGACTAAGTTGGGCTCGTACTGTGCCCTCAGCAGGATCTCCTGGTCGCTGACGGATTTGGGCATCTCCGCAAAGTCGCTGGAGCTGTCCGACACCATCATGCAGTAAATGTCCTGGAAGGAGCTGCTTTTGCTGTCCAGGTTGAAGAGGCTGTCGATGAACTCGGCGAATTCCAGCACCTGGGGACTGGGAACGTCGGCCAGGCGGCCGTTGTGGAGCGGCGGCTCTTCCCGAGGGGACGAGGACGCGCGCTCCCCGTCGCTCCCGGTGCCCTCGGCGCTGCAGCGGCGCTGGGGGGTGGTGCCGCCGCTGTTGAGGACGTTTTCCGGAGGCTGCGTCTCCTGGGAATGCTTGGAGAGGCTGTCAGCAGCCAGCAGCTCTGTCCGGGAGCTGAGGGATGGGTTTTCCTCAGGGATAACGGGGTCTATATAAAAGCAGTGCGTCTCGTCCTTCTCCATGACCGCATGGAGGCTGGGGGAGCCCCGGATACTCCGGAAACCAGAGGAGCGCCGGGAATCGAAGCTGTAGATGGATTCGTTGTCTGAGAGGCTCTCCATGGTGGCCAGAGGAGCACGGCGGTCCTGGAGCTCCACGGAGAGACGTTCCTTAGTGTCCAGGAGAAGCAGCTCCACGGGGTCCTTCTGCACGGGAGAAAGTGGCTTTGTCTCATAGAATCCCTCCAGGCTGATTTCTGAATGGGATTTGCTCCTACAACAGGAAACAGAGAACATGAGGCTGCAGAATTCCAGAACACCTAGAGGATCCAAGGGTTCCTCACACCGCTCCTTCAAACAGAGGCATCCACAGCTCCGAGGAATCTCTTCTCGCTCCATCCTCCCAGCTGGAAATATCACAAATGGATTCTCCCTATGCAAACTCCAGTTCTTGCTCTTCTCCCTTTTTTCCTGGCTCACTAAATCCTTCTCTCCTGTCCAGAGAGGCTGTAGACTATCCCTGATGGCGTTCCAGGTTGGACGGGGCTTGGATTAACCTGGGCTGGTGGAAGGTGTCCCTTCCCATGTCAGGGCCTGGAACTGGATGATCCTTAAATCCCTTCCAAACCAAACCGAATTTGGCTCCAAGTTTTACTTTGGGAAAACCCCATCTGTCTGCATTAGGAAAAAAAAGGGAAGTCTCTCCCATACCTTTTCCTGACCTTGCTGCAGTCAAATTCCTAAGCAACACAAGGGACTTTTCCCCCTGACATTCCTCAAGACATCCTGAAGCTTTAATTCCCACACAGGTCCATGGATCTGTCTTTCCCATAAACATGGATCACAATGCTCCAAGAGGAAGAGGACCCACACCTAGGGCCAATATTCCATATAAAATCTCTCCTTACTTGGTACTGCTGTTCCTTCTGTCCGCTGGGATGGCTCCAGTTCCGATCTGCACAGAGGGACAGCTGGGCAAGGGCTGGCTCTGGAATATCAGCTCTGGGGTGAGATCCACTTCCGTAGGACTCACCATCACTTTGGCTGCAGAAAGCAGAGCTGTTTTCCCCTTGTTGTAGTTCTCCAAGACCTGTCCAAGGAAAGCAGAGAAACAGCAGGGATTGACTGGAGGCTTTCAAACAGTGGAATTGGCCTCTTTCTTCCCAGAGCCTTCTGGAAGCACAGGGAGATAAAGGATTAGATGGATAAATCCTGACACATCCCTGGATGTCACCTGGGCTCCAGTTTAATGGCAGCTCCTGGAATGAACCATCACCACCCAACCTCACATTACTCTGATGTTAAATTTGGAAACAGGAGCTTCTGGGACTGTGTGAATTCCATTCCCAGACCTTATCACACTCCACTCCAATACTCTGTGCAAGACTGACCAAGAGCATCCCCTTTCCTCCTCTTCTCTGAAATAAACAGCCTGGTGTATTTAACCAGCAGCATTCCCAGGCTAAGCCTGCCTGTCCCGTGGTTTTTGGGATGACAGTTCCCTGCCTTACCTTGTTGAGCCCTTCCATGACCACGTAGGGCAGGTGTTCATGCAGCATGGCTGGGGAGATGATGACCTCGTTGAAGGCCTTGTTGTCCCCCCAGATGGCAAAGTAGGTGGGATCCTCCTGCTCACAGCAGCTGGAAAAGGGGTGCAGACAACAGGGAAAATGGGATGGAAGAGCAGGGCAGTGTTTTGGCATGAGTGCAGAGGGAGAAAAAGAGGAAGAACAGAGGGAGGAGCTGTTAAAATACATACTGCTCCAAAATCCTGCATTATTCAACAGGGACATGATTATCCATGGACTAATCATCATCTAAAGAAGAAAAGAACTTTGGACAAGGGCCTGGAATAATGGGAAAAGGAGGAGTAGCTTTAAGCTCAAAGAGGGTGGATTTAGGCGGGATATTGGGAAAAAATTCTTCCCTGTGAGGGGGCAGAGGCACTGGCACAGGTTGTCCAGAAAAGCTGCAGCTGCCCTATCCCTGGAAGTTTGCCAGGTCAGTTTGGATGGGCTTGGAGCAACCTGGGATGGTAGAAGCTGTCCCTGCCCATGACAGGGGCTGCAGCTGGATGATCCTTAAGTCCCTTCCAACCCAAACCATTACAGCATTCCATTTGCTGGTTTAGATTAGATATTGGAAGAAATGCTTCCCTGTAAGGGTGGTGAGACTGGAAAATTGAGTTGAATTTCCAAGGGAAGCTGTGGCTGCCCCATCCCTGGAAGTGTTCAAATCCAGGTTGGACTGGGCTTGAAGCAATCTGGTCTGGTAGAAGGCATCCCTGCCCATGACCTTCACAGTCCCTTCCAACCCAAACCATTCCATAACTCCACCCACACAGACACAACCACTGTCTCCATGAGACAGCGGGGAAGAAAACCCCCTTCTCCTTGTGTCAGGGAGAGTTTTCCACCAGGAATTCCAGGACTCACCAGCACTGCTCAGCAGGGTGGTTGTGCACCACGTGGATGATGCGGCCGGGGGGGTACAGAGGGGTGCTGGCACTCAGGGCGATGGTCAGGTCACTGGGATGCGTCCAGAGCCGGTTACTCGTCACTGAGTTCTCCTCTGGCTCCTCGGGAAGCTCGGATTTGGGAATGCACTTGGTAGCCCCCACAATGATCCGCCACTGTTCCCACAAAGAGAGAGAGGGAGGAGGAAGGATTTAAAGAGAGAAAAGCAAAAATAAGCAGAATTGCCTTGTAAGGCTTGAGAGGTTTAAAGAATTCTAGAGGCAGGACAGTCCCAGTTTTCTTTCACACAGGAGGGATTTGCCTAAGGAAGGAGTGTGAAACACCAACAGAGGTGTCCAGGAAAAACACAGTGACTCTGGGAATAAATAAGGAACAATACAAGGACAGGAAAAGAGGGAAGCTGGATACAGAAATGATCCAAATGTTTCTGAAAAGTTGATTTCCCTTTCCCAATTATATACCCTCTCCAGGTAAATTCCATCATGTATTCTCTCTAAAAATCTTATGTCTTTTTTCCATCTTGGTGCAATAGTAAGGACTGGGGAGGGACAACTTCCCACTTTTCCTATCTCCAAGACATGAGCAGACCATTTATCCCGGAACAGCATCATCCGAATGGTCCAACAAGCACAGCATCTGCACTTCCAGCCTGTTCCCAGTTTTAACTGGCCAGGAAAATCCACACTTGGAATACAGACTCCAAAAGAGGCTCAGACAGAAAATTTGCTGCTCGGTTATTTGGAATCTGTGATGGTGAAGTTTCAGCAAGTGAGCCAGAATGATCCCACTGAGCTCTCCAGATCTTTTCATCATTCCTCTGGTTCCCTAAATAATAATCCTGAAGAGACCTGGAAGAAACCCACCCTTCCTGCCCGTAAAATTTCCCATCCCTGCTCAGAGATGTTTTCAGGTGTTCGTTCTTCACTCTTACCTTTGGTTTGGTGCTTCTTTGGAGAACATCCAGAAGCTGCCGGCGAAATCCCTCCAGCTGAGAGAGCCCAATCCTGCAAGAGAGGAAGATGTGACCATGGAAAAGAGGAAGATGTGATTCTGGAAAAGCAGAAGTGAGTCTGGAAACAAAATTATGGATTATGGAAGAGGGGGAAATGTGTTCGTGACACCTGGGCAGAGAACAGGACAAGAAGGATATGGAACACAGTAAACAAGGCATTGTGTTTAAAAGGACACTGTAAGGATACAACATGGAGCAGATGGATTGAGGTGGGCTGTGGCATCACCCAGGACACGGGACCAGGAGTGAGAGGCCCCAGGGAATTACCAGGAAAATAACCAAGATAAGGTCAGTGAACAGGGAAGGAGAGAGGTGAAGATGAAGATGGCACAGAGCAGATAAGCTGGAAAAGTCCTGGAGCTGAATGACACCACTGAGCAGATGACGGGATGGACAGGATCCATCCAGGTAAATCCCAGGTTGCCTGGCTCTCGTTCTAAATCCCAGCTCAGCAAAACATATCCCAGGAGATGAGAAAGTTGAGGAATGCCAAGGCACAAGGAATGAGATGATTTGGAGATGAGGTGACATGGAACAGGGGTTTTGTGACAAACTGGTCCAAATGAAGCAGCACCACATCCAGGACAGGGCCAAGATAACACAGCAAATCAGGAAGGTGGCACACCTGATATTCTAGGTAGCACAAGGAGGGATTCCAGAGGTAGGACATTCCCCCTTTTCTTTCACACAGGATGGATTTGCCCATAAAAACCCCAACAAAGGTGTCCAGGAAAAACATAATGACACAGGGAGTCAGGAAGATAAACAGGGAACAATAAAAGGACAGAAAAATGAGGAAGCTGGAGACAAAAACGATCCAAGTGTTTTGGACAGGAAAGAGATGATTTGGGACAGAACAGCGGAGATTCATCAAGGAATTCAGACACTTCTCCACTTGCCTGGGCACCAGATCTTTGCCAAGCACCACTGCAGTCACAAACTCCTTGGAATACTCCATGGCATCCTCACTGGAAGAGAAACAGGAGCAAGAAGAAGCAAATAGCGTTTCACTCCCAGTTTGGTGTCAGGGAAATCAGGGACACAAACCCCAATCCAAGCTACTCCAGGCTTTGGGGACTTGTGCCTTGTGGAAGAAGAGCCTCATCTCCACATCCCATGGCCCAGTCATTTCCCTGCACATGACTCTGGATGTAGCTGGGAAAGGAAATACTTGAACTCAATGCCTCAGTCATTTTCCAATAGTTTGGGAAAGGTGGGACACCAAGGAAGAAGATATTTTGTGCTCCTGAGACTACAGTATAGGATGAAATATCCCAATATTTGGGGGAATTCAAACGGCAAATTTCTGCAGCAACCTGACTTCCAAGACAAGAAGAAAGAAATCGAGATTTCCACTCTGAGTTTCCTGGAGATATTCCCAACCAGTTACCACAGGCAGAGGCTGCCTCACTGACCTAGGGATGATCCTGGGTATGTCAGAAGCTACCAAGGGATCTAGAAGTGCAAGTTTGGAGCAGAAGGTTGTACAACTCTCATGAAATATTCTCCTCTGCAGCTCTGTGGCTGCAGAAGACCTGGGAATACTACAAGGAATGCCAGCATCCAAGTTCAGCAGCAGGATGGTTTAAAACCCTTGGCTGCTCAAGGAATATGAACTACCATGAGAAGCTTCTCATGATCCATAGCAAATTCCAAGGATCCCCATGGTGTCTGTCAGGACCAGGAAGACCTTCCCTCACTTCCCAGCAATCTAATGGGATGTTTTGTTTGGGAATGGCATGACTAGAAGGTCTGTTCCCATTTATAATGGGAGGGATTCACAATTAACCTCTCCCTGGTTTTGCCCCATGGCCAAGGGAGGGAAACCAGAACAATCCTTGTGAGCAATTTTAGGCTGCAGAATCACAGAAATCACATCCCAATTCCAATTTCTTTGGAAAAGGAGTTCAAACAACTGGATCAGCTTCTGCATTTGGTCAAGTATCTCTCTTATTTCCATCTACTCAGTGGGAGTGGGAGAGTAAGGAAATTGCACCCATTTCATATTAAAATTAGAGCCATGGATATTTCAGTTATAAACCAGAATATTTGGGAAAGCGGCCATCTGCCATCCTAACTTGAATACCAAACTATATCCCAGAGGAAACATTCAGCTTCTCCAGGCTGCCTTGTCCACTTCACTGCTCCCTAGAGCCTCACAAGCAGGATCCAGTGTATCCCAGCACCTACCTGAGCAGCCCACCTGGGGGGGAATAAGCAAAGCACTTCAGGGATGGATACTGGGGACGCAGCAGGAAGGACAGGATGGCAGCTGTGCCAGCTCCAAGGGAATGGCCAACCACAATCAGGCCGTAGTGTTTTGTTCCTCTTCCCTAAAAAACATGGAAACAACAAGGAATCGAAGTCAGGTTGGAAATCAAATTGAATTTATCCCCCAAATCTCTCCTTTTCTCCAGTTTTGGAGTCTGTTTCTATACATGAGCACTCCAGATTCCAGCTGAATGGCTCTTTGCTTGTTTTGAATCATGGAATCATCACAGAATACTGGAATGGTTTAGGCTGGAAAGGAAGGGAGAGATCATTCCATTCCACCCTCTGCCATGGGCAGGGACACCTTCCACTAGCCCAGGCTGCTCCAAGCCCCATCCAACCCATGCTGGAACACTTCCAGGGATGGGGCAGACACAGCTTTTCTGGGAAACCTGTGTCAGAGTCTCACTGGAAGCTGGAATTCATTCACTTCCTGAATTCTACATTTGGCCTACTGGGACTTTCCTGAAAAAAAGAAGGTGGGAAGAAAAAGGAAAAGCACACCAGCTGTTTGAATTATTTAGGATTTGATGGGAGCTTTTTGTCCCTCCTGATAACATTCAAGCCCACACAGAAAGTGTCTCTAAACCTCACTGGACACTTTTCTCTGGAATATCTGTCCTTGGTAACTGTCAGAAACTGGTCCTGGGCTGGTGGGACCTGGGATGGCACTTATGGACCTAAAGCCAGGAAATATTCCTCCTGAGTAACAGGAACAATTCCCATTTTCCCTTTCTAGGCAGAGAAGAATAAAGCTCCATCCCCAAAAGCTGGTTTATCTCTCCCTCCATCCACCAAATATCCCAAGGCAGCACTTCAGCAACGATTTCCAACATATAAACCAAGGGAAGCTGCTTCCCAACATCTCCCTTGAGTCCTGTGACATCTCCCTGCCACCAGGAATGTGCCCACAGGGACAGTCAGTACTGCATTCCAAAGAAAATCTCCATAAAAATGGGATTTTAGTTCCTGTTGATTTGGCTTTAATGCTCTCTGTCCTTCATTGCCACCATGTGGGACTTCCTGCCTCAGGAAAAGGAAAATAATCAGAAGCTCTGCACTACTGCTGCTTCTAAAATAAAAAAGCCTTGCAGGAAGTCTGGATGGGGTTTGGAGCAACCTGACCTTGTGAAATGTTCTCTGCCCATGACAGGGGGTGGAATGGGATGAGCTTTAAGGTCCCTTCCAACCCAAGCCTTTCCATGAAATGCGTAACTAGCTGGAAATCCAGGAATTAAAGGAAGAGCTGAGAAATGAATACAACAGACTCAGGGACACAGAAATCCCTTAAAACCCAGTTTTTAATGGATATCTCATCCTCTGTCCAGAGACAACTCATACTCACCAAATCCCGCCCAAAAGCTTGGGACAGCACCATCTCCTGCTCCAGCTTCTTCTTGATGTACTCAGCAGACAGCACCATTCCCTGTGGGAAGCAGGAAGACACAACAGCATGTAAATAGGATCTCAACATCCAGTACCCAGAAGGTGAGGAAGCTTTGGAATGTCCCACAGCATGGATCAGGATGGAGGGAGAATTGATTCCTCTGCATTTCCAAAGTTTTGGTGTTGAAGGAGTAAAGGCAGCTCTTAATTAAGGAACACTCCAAGGCTATTTCTGGACTTTTGGAGGGAAAACTACTCCAAATCCAATTACCTTAAACACAGGATTGTGGATTTGGTACTTCAGGCCAAGGGACGTGCAGCAGAACAGAGAAATAGACTTAGATATTCTAAATACTGGTGGTTTTACGGCCAAATTATCCTACTCCAGGTAAATCTGGGAAGGAGTTTCCCATTTTAATCTGGGAATAAAAGTGTGAATCATTCTAATAGAGATAATAATACAAACACCAAAGGGAAACGTGGCAGCACTAGGAATTAGTTCCTGTCTTCTCCAACCATCAATATTAAGGGAATTTGGCTGTCAGAGGGCACTCATCCCAAATTATTAAATGTTTTTATTCCCTAGAAGTCAATGAGTGCTGGAAGATGGGAAAGACCTTATCTGGGTCTAAACATTCCTTGTCTCTGGCTCAGGAGTGTTTCTCTATCTGTGTGGTGATTCCAAATGTAGTTGATACAATTCCAAGCGCAGTTATAAACAAGTAACTGGAATTTGGTTTGTTGCATAAATTCCTGATGATGCTACAGTTTAACTAAATGGGAAGTGAGCCTGAACTCCAAAAAATGGAGGGAAATGGGGAAAATCATGTCCTTGGCTGTTTTCCTTTAAATCCCTATCTTAAAATGGTCTAAGTACAATGGGAATGTTATCGGGGGCCCACTCTCCATCTCAGAAATATGAAAGGATTCCTGGCTCCACAAGCAAAGAAAAAATATATCAATAAGAATATATAAAACCTCAGTTATCCTGAAGGGCTGGATCAGGGGTTGGAGTTAAACACAGCAGGATAATGAGAGGGGAAAATCAGGGAAACATCAGGGAGAAATCAGAGGGAAATCAGAGGAAGAGCTGAGGGGGGAAATGGTGGATGGGAAACGAGAGGGCAGGAATTCGGCAGGAAAACTGGGCGGGAAAATCTAAATCTGGGATAAATCAGGAATAAATCAGGAATAACAGTGCTGACTGTCTTGCATCAATATCACCTCACCAAGCTTCCTGAGATCAAGTTGTATTCCATTCTTATGGAATTTCTTGGATCATTTCAAAGAGGGGAAGAAAGGCATAAAAGAAGCCAGTGAGGAAGAGAAAGCAAAGAACCATGGAATTTTCCAGGTCCTCAGTATCCAAAATGTCTTTGATCCCAATCTGGATACTGAGAAGGGAAGCAGGACAGTGGAGACCCCACTCCATGGAAATGAGATACATGGGATGCTGCCACTACCAAAAAGTGGTTGTGCTTTATCCCAGCTCCCAGCAGCTCCCCAGCTTCCAGAAGAATCTCCATTCCCAATCCTAATGAGAAGTGAGCAGCAGGCCACTGATTTGAATTCCCACTGTGAATTTGGGATTCTATTTTTAGAGAGCGTGACCCAAATCCACGGTGATGTCACTGATGGGATGTTAGTCAGCCTTTGGGACGTGTTTTTGGTAATTATATCCTAATGGAGACAGGGATTTTAATTACTATGGGATGATACTGCAAACTTCCATTTAGATTTTCCATTGGAAAAATTCCCTAAAATTCATGGAATCCTGGTTTGGGTTGAAAGGGACTTTAAGCATCATCCCATTCCATGGACGGGGACACATTCCATTAGCCCAGGTTGCTCCAAGCCCTATCTAAACTGGTCTTGGACACTTCCAGGGATGTAGCATCCATAAATTCTCTAGGAAACAAATCCAATTTCAAGTTAATAAAACTATTTGGGCTTAATTTTGCAAGTTCACATGTAAATAACCAAATGGATCAAGGATTTAGAGAAAGGGAATGGAAATATTCTGCATTGTTTTGCATCCCAAAGGCACGAAACTGTTCTGGGATATTTGAGATTTGGGGGAAAACCCTCAGAAGGGTCTATTTATGAGAGAAAAATGCTGGAAATTCTCATTACTGGGATCATGGCTGAACTTCCAGGACTTTCCAGCAGCTCCTTGTCCTCCTGCTTGGCTCAACACCAGGAAACAAAGCTCTATAACATCCTATTTTCACTAATTTTGTCCTGGGAGTTCAACAATTAAATCTGGATTCACCCCTTCGGCTGAGGATTATTTTTAAAATTAACTTTGTTATAAAATCAGTGGACTTTATTGCAAAAATAGTGAAGTTGAATTCTTTGAGTTATAATCCCCCCTTTTTTTTGGCATTCTAATCCCTAAATTTTAGTTCCAGCTCTCTTTTTTGACCCAGAATAGCTCAGAGGCCTGATAAATATTTTTTTAATTGTGACATTGGAGCTGTGGAGTGATAAAAAATTTCATGTAAACATCAAGACTTGGGATTTTAGGATGGCTGACGGACACCCCCGGGGATGGGTGGGACAGAATCAGTAGGAAAACACCCCAAATGAAACAAATCCTGGAAAAGCTCCTACGTAGCCAAGTCCTTGTTACCAAATTAAATGTGTAAGTGAGACACTGGATTTGTTTGGATATTAAACTTGACTCCTGGACATTAAAAATGCATTTAAAATTCCATTATCTCCTTTAGTTTTCCCTCAGGAATCAACAGCACATTATTGTCTGCAGATTAATATTGATAATAATTCCAGAGAAAGTGAATATTTCTCTCCTGGCAGCAATCCCAAAAAAGAAATAACACAAAGGACAAATAAAAGCTCTGTCTGGAACAAAGGGAATAAACTGATAATGTTACATGGAAGTTGCCAGTGGAAGAATATTTTCATATACAGATCAAAAGCAAAGCAGTTTCTGCAAGGATCTATTCCTGGATTTTCATTGAATCATGGAATTCTGGAGTGGTTTGGATTGGAAGGGACCTAAAAGCCCATGCCTGTCCCATGAGCAGGGACACCTTCCACCAATCCAGGTTGCTGCAAGAGCCATCCTCCAAGGTGTCCCAGTCCGTGGCAGGGATTGGAACAGGATCTATAAAGTCCCTTCCAGCCCAAACCATCCCAGGATTCCATGACTGTATTTCCTAAAGCAGAGGGAAGAGGTTTGGTATTCCAGCAGCACACCATGAGGCAAGCTGGAGTTCCCAACTCATGTCTTCCAAGGACTTCCAAGCTCCACATCCCACCTTCAGCAACACCTCATCCCCCCCAGCAGCACTTCCAGCAACTGCTCTGTTCCTTCCAACCTTCACTCTGGATTTCCCTTTCCCAACTTGGCACTGCAGCTTTGGAAGCTGCCAAATTCCTGATCATCTTAAAAACTCAGCACACTGTTTTTTTGCCAGACAGGGGCAAAGGTCAGCTCTGGAATAAATAGATTTAGCCAGCCCAGAGCTGCTTGCAGACACAGAGCACCCATCTAATTTCACGGATCCGAGTCCTGCCAGTATCCTTTGAGGACATTCCCATCACAGCAGAATTTTAAGCACATTCTCAGGCTTTGATTAAAAATTCCTTAAAGGTTGTTGGAAGAAAATGTCATTTGAGTGGTTCCAGGAATTTCATTGTGGGTCTCCACGATGCCTTTCTTAATTTGGAGTTCTCTAATTGTATGAAGTTTTTAATTACATGCCCAGTGATTTTAACTGCTCCCACTAATTATTTAACACCTCAAAGCCCTTTCTGTAACTTCTTTTTCAAGTAATTAAGACCATTCAGGGGTTTATAATTTAAAAGTGAAATAATTAAAAAAATCTACAGGGTTTTGTTTGGTTTTGAGTTGGTTTGGGATCGTTTTCCCTTTGCTTTCCCCACCTTGTGTCCCAGCCATGTTCCATGGTGCCCCTCAACTGGCAGGCGCTCCGCGTCCCCCGTCAGATCCGTCAGGGCATCCTGGAAGAAAAGCAGCCACCTTGCTTCAGGTGAGTCAAATCCAAGTCAGGATTCCAAACTGGAAAGGGCTCCAACTCTCTGGAATAGCCACCAAGGAGGCCACTGCATATCCCACTTACCTTTGGGGACAGAGTTCCCCGGATGCTAATGACCACCTTCTTCTTGTCGTGGTCCACAGCCACATAGAAAGGGGTTTCATAAACCTGGAAGAGATCGGGAGAGACATTCTTGTTGGATTATCCTCAGGTAAAAGGAGGCAGAGTGTGTGACAGGATTTGTGTCCAAATGACAGAATTTTTTGATGGAAATGGAAGAGAAAAAGGCTTAATTTCCCTTCTTTATCCCACTACAGCCAGAAGAGGGTAAATCCCCTTGGGAAGAGGGTCAGGGACTGTCCTTACAGCATCGTGGCAGGAAGTGTAGACGATGTCCACAGAGGTCATGTTCTCGTCCAGGAAGTGGCGCCGGATGGCGATGGCGTTGCAGCCACAGCAATTGTCCTCCTCGATGGTGACACCGGGAGCGTAGCGTGGGCGCGACGGGCACAGGCAGCAACATCTGCGGGGAGGAAGCACGGCTTTGAGGGAAAAAGGCTGGATTTAGACTGGTATTCCTAGAGGAAAGGAAAAGGCGGACCCTCCAAACCTTATCCCTACGGCAGCGAGTGCCAAGTGAAAGATAAAACCATGAAACAGCCTCAAAATCCGGGATCAGGTGCAGTTTTCCTTTTGAGCACCAGAGAGAGCTACAAGGCAGCCAGTCCCCAAGGAAGCCAAGGATGGTGGGGTGGGATGGCTCCTCAAAGGATACTATCCTTGGAAGCACAGTTTTCCAGTGCTTCAGCGTGGAAAAGCCAACAATGACCGAGCTCCAGGTTTATTTATAGGAAAAAAATGGGTTTAGGATCATCCCAAAATAAAAAGAGAAGTGCGGGTTGATTTTCCTTCTTTCTCTCTCACAAATAAAAGTACTCCCAAGGAATCACATTCCTCCCAATAGCCAAGAAAGTGCCAAAAGCTCATCCCCAGATTGAATCCAGTGAGAGAATTCTGGCAGCTGGTAACAAACCCTTGCACCGGGGCAAAAATTCTGAGCTGGAAAAATCCAATTAATCTGAGGGAGCACAGCCCAAGCCAGGCAAATCTTGGAGGTCTTTCAATCAGGACCCAAATGTCAACTCCCCGATTTTTGAGCTCCAAGAAGCTCTTTTTGGACTTGGTGTTGTGCCAGGTGAGTTGCCTCCGCTGGCTGTTCCATGCTCCAGAGAAGATGGAGCAGAGGACAGGCTGGTTTAGGAACTGGAAGGAATTCAGAAAGCCTTTAGAATATGAAGCCCAGAGAGATTGAAAGAAAAAAAACACAAGGAGAAAAAGGCAGAAAAGAAATCAAGAAGGGAGGAAGCACCAAATAAACGTGGGGAAAAACAAAGGGTGTTCCTAAATATGGGAAAACCAAGCAGGAAGAAAGGGATGAGGGTGGGCACTCACGAGCAGGATCTGGCCAGGCGGCAGAGTCCACATGTGGGCTTCCTCATGAGGTAAATGGGCCATCCATAGGCAGCCAAGGCAAAGAGCATGTAGTAACACACCTCCCGGTACCGCTGCATCTCTTGCTGGAAGACACGGAACCCCCTGAGCCTGGAATCTCTTGGAATTCCCCCCCCCCATTCCCTTTTTCCATAGTTAGGCACGTGCCGAGCGCCAGCCCCCTCTCCCAGCTGCGCTGCGGTGACTGAGGAGAGCGAGGTGGGGATGCCAGGCAAGAGCCACCCCCTCCCAAAGATTTCTCTGCCTGATTTCCTGAGGAATTCTCTGGCTGTCCCACCACGCTGCCAAGGAAGCTGCTTCCTGCAGATTTGGAAATGAGCTCCCTAAATATCCCCTTTCCAGCAGGCCAGAGAATGCCTGGAGAGGGTCACAAAGCCAATTTGGGGTTATGTGAAGCAGTTGCATTCTATAAAAGCTCAGCTGGAGAGTTGGATCAGGGGTTGGAGTTAAACACAGCAGGATAAGCAGCAGGAAAAATCAGGGAAACATCAGGAAGAAACTGGAGGTAAACTGGAGGAAGAGCTGAAGGGGAAAATGGCAGGGGGATAATGAAGGGGTGAAAATTTGGTAGGAAGAAAATTGGGCAGGAAAATCAAAATCAGAGATAAATCAGACAAATCTAAATCAGAGATCAATTAGGGATAAACCAAAATCAGGGATGAATCAAAATCTGGAATAAATCAGGGATAACAGTGCTGACTCTCTTACAGCAATATCACAAGCCTCCAGAGATGAAGTTTTATTCCATTCCCATGGAATTCCTTGGATTATTTCAAAGAGGGGCAGAAAAGCATAAGAGAAGCCAGTGAGGAAAAGAAAACAAGGATCATAGGTGGGTTTGGAGGATCCCACATCCCAGGGACTTACCGCATTCTTCAAATCCAGGTATTTGGTGTTCCTGGTCACTGGCATTCCAGACAGGAAAGCTAAAATGTCATTGTTTGCCTGGAAGTCACAAATACACAGAAAAATTCTTCTGTGTGACAGCAAGACAAAATTTCACTCTCAAATATCCCAACCAGGCCCCTCAATTACTTCCAATGCTTTTATTCCTGCCTGATTTGAATCCAAATTCAAGCGGAAAAAAAATCATTAAAATAAATCAATATCCTACTGGGCTGGCAATCTGCAAACCTTGACAGCAGCTTGGAAAACTGGGAATTTTTCCTAAATCCCAAATCAAGGGAAAAATTCCAATAAGATAAATCCATTTCCTACTGACTTGACAATCTGCAAGCCTCAGTAGCGGCTTGGAAATTTAGGAATTTTTCCCCCTGCAGATTGCTGCAGTCTTCTCCATATCTTTGTAGAGTGGGAATAATCTTCACATTCATTTCCAAGAACCTACAACCCCCTTGGAGACCCTTTTGGGATCAAGAGCTCCTCCTGTATCACCAGTCTGGAGAGGATCAATCCAGATTCCAGACTTGACTCGGCACTAGCTGAACCCTTAGACAGGGAAAAACTCAGGAAGAGCTGAAGTCACCATTATTTTTCTTTCCCACCTCAGCGAGTGAGAGCAGCCTAGAAATGAGGTGGGGAGCTGTTTCCCAGGGAATCCCAGAGCAGCTGGGAAGAGATTCCCAGGTTTTCCCACCTCATCCAGCACGGCATTGCGCTTGGCCCGCTGCCGCTGCCGCAGAAGAACCAGCCCTGCAATGATGTCGGAGGGGACGATGTCCAAGTCTCGGAAAAATTCCGCAAAAAGGTAGGCGATCTCGGAGTAGGCATCCTGCAAAATCCAGGGAGAGAGAGGTTGGAGGAGGAGGAGGAGTTTGGGTGTGGGAAGCCTCAAAACAGGACACCAAAACTCGTTTCTGGAGCTCAGCCTCCAAAACAGCCACAAGATTCTTGCAGGGAATGTCAAATCTGGACTAATCACATGATTATTGTGTCTTGTTTATTTTCCACAGTTCCACTCGGAGGCTGGATTTGTGCCGTGTGTGGGCACCTCGACATCCAAACAGCTCACAGAGGACAAAGGGAGGGAAAGGGAATGGTTTTGGCTTTCTCTATATTAAACAAAACAGATAAAATGGGATGAAAACCAAGCAAATCCCAATCTAGTGCTACCTCGGAGTCATCCTTTCTCCCAAAAAGCAGAATAAAGGCCATTCCATGAGGAAAAAAAAACTGATTTTGTCCTATGTAAGAGTCTCTTGAACTCTAACTTTGCCCCTGGATCCGTTTTCCCACGTTTATCCCAGACCTGAGATACTCTTGCACAAACTTAACCCAAACATGGGAACCTTTCTCCAAATGTACCCCAGACCTGAAACCATTTTGCCCACATTTAACTTGCCTATACTTATTCCAGACCTGGGATCCTTCTGCCCAGACTTAACTTGCCCAAATTTATCCCAGACCTGGGATTCTTTTGCCCATATTGCCAGGCTTTTCCAGGTTTGTTTTGGATGACAATCAAGCATAAAGGCATGAAAAGTAAAAACTGAGACACTGAATGCAGAATTCCCAGAAATGAAGGTGACCAAACCCAAAAAAGGAGGGACAGAAATGGAAGTAACCTGAGAGGGTCAAGCAAAGGCTCTGGAGCAGAGGGACAAAGATATTTTGAGGAGAAATGTCCTTTTCCCACTTTTTGCTCTGTGCTACAGGAAAAATAAACCCACAAGATCTCACAGGGGAATATTTTGGGAGGCTGAAGAGGGATGTAGGTCAGTGCTGACCTGTCATTACTCCAGCCTAAAGACAAGGATGATCCAGAGGCTGGAGCAACAAAACGTGGAGCTGTACCCACCAATGGTCTATATTTGACTCTTGCCATCCAAAACTTTTGCTACAAGGATGATCACAGCCTTACCTAAACCTTTATCCTGTGTTTTCATAGTATCCTTTATCCAGCATCAAAACCCACAAGACTGGAGTGTTGTAGAAACCCTGAGCACTCCAGGACGGGATTTCTCCTCTCCCTTCTTTGACCATCAAGACAGCAAATCCCTTATCTTCCCTGCAGGAATGACCTACATCCTTTTATCCCTGCCAAACTCCTGGCATGTGGGATGACTTTCAGTCATTTTTCACTTCCCTACAAAAGCCAGTTATATCCCCATTAAGAACTGGGGCTCCAGGTGCCAACTCTCTGTGCCAGCAGTGCCTTTGGAAAGCCAACAGCATTCCAACCGCAGTATCCTTGAAATCCTGACCTCATCAATCCTAGTGTGGCTCCTGTGAGTTCATAAGAAATGCCAAGAGCCTCCAAAGGAAACAGGACAAACACCCATTAATCCAAAGTGGCAGCTGCAGCCCTGGATGCCCTGACAAAAAAAGCCCTGATGGAAGTTCAGAGCGTATTTTCCGCTCCAAAGGAACAGCTTTTTGTGGGAACACCTGACATTATTCCTGTTTGTCCACCTGGTGGAGTGCTCTGCTACAGACCCTGAAGGCTCTGAGTCTTCAGACTTCACCTCAGATCCTTTCCCCAAAGCCATGTCCACCCATAAAACACTTTTCCAGCCCAGAGGACAACAATCCTCTGCTGTTACTTTTTTTTTTTTCCATAGAGTCTGGGATAGGCAGCAACGGATTCATTTCTGATCCATTACGTGCTCATTCATTCCACACGCTGCCATGCCAGGACACAACATCGGGGCTTGCTCCTGCAGAGAAAAGAGGCTAGAAATTGCTCAAAAGCTGGATGTAAAGTGGAAATTCAACAGCACAAGGAATGTGAGGCATTTGGAATCCACTTTTATTCCAAGTTTAAAAAAAAAGAGAAGCAGTCACTGAAGAATGGAAAGTTTGTTAAAAAGAACTCAAAATATTTGGAATACTTTGCAATCCTGAATAAAATGAGAGTTGTTCAGGGCATTCAGGTGTCTGTCAGGGCTCTCTCTCTCAGGATGCAGCATCCATGCTGTGCCCTCAGGACAGGTGTCTCCAGCACCGGGGCAAGGTGACCTGGATGTGCTCTCAGGGAGAAGGGAAGCACCTCTGCTCTGGAGCACCAAGGAAAAGCTGCTGTGGGAGCTGCCAGGGCACAAAGCTCCTTTGGTCTTTGTTTTCCAGATGGATTTCCCCAGCAAATAAGCTGGGAGCTGGCAGGCCTGGGCTTGAACTTCCCAGAAGGACATTCCCAGGGAACATGGTGGCATTTCAACCAGGGAAGGGGATCCTGGGAGAGGTAGCATTCCAGGACATGGTGCTGGGTTTCTGACTGTGACAATTCCTGCAGCCTTCCACACTCTGGAAGCTGCACCAGTGGATAATTCCACAGCACTCCCTAAGAAATGCTGTTAATCCAATTCATCACCTGGGAAGAACAAACATTCACCTGACTCTCCCTTTATTTTTCCATTTTCCCTTTGGAGATATCAATCCCAGTCTCATTGCTCTTCCTCTCCACGTTCACATCCCTTCCAATGTGCTCCTTTTCCTGCTGCATCCTTTTGGAGCACGAACTCTGGGCTATATTTAGTGAGGACATGGCAGCTGTGGTTGGTCCCTTGGTGTTTTCCCTGTCATTTTCCGTGCCCTTCTAACTGGAGTTAAACGTCTGGGCGGATTTTTTGGCCACTGCTGGTTTTGTTGGAATGTCCTTGATAAATCCCAGCTTTTTCCCTGAGAGGTTGTAACTAATTCAGAGCTCAGTGTCTGCAAGTAAACAAATCTCCTGATTTTTATGACTTTCTCCTCCCTTTGGGAACAATTCCTTGGTTCTGCTGGTTCCTTCAGGAGTCCTCAAATCCTCAGAATTTTAACCAAATTAGTAAAATCAAAAGCAGATTTTTCCAGTGCCGAAGTTTGACTTGCCTCTCCAGCAGGTCCTCAGGAATGCTGGTGAATCCCACCCTCAGGCACAAACCTGCTCTCAGTGATTCTAAGGAGAATGGAATGATAACTTTTGGGGAATGAATTTCAAGGCCTTTATACCCTTCCCTGCTACACAACAGCAATGGAAAATCCCAATGGCAGCACATGAAAATTCCCTGTGATCTTCACGTGGATCTAGGGATTAGACAGTTTTTGATTGTCAGGAGATCCAGAAAGATTTTGGTGATCCTTCCAGGTTTTGTTTTCCCATTTCCAAATTCTCCTCCTTAAGGGTGTGAGACTGATGGAAGTAACAGAAGAAAGTGCTCAGGAAGGGGCTGATAAAGGGAAATGGGAGCTGCTCAGGAAGTGCTGCCAAATGTGAATCTAACCTGAGGAAAAAATAGGGATTTCTCCCACTGATATTTTGATTCCCAACAGGACATTTTTGGTACCCACCGACTGGGAGTCCTTTGTCCGTGTGCAGCAAAGGAACACTTTGAGCCTGCGTGTCCAGCTGCTGGCTTGTCCCTCTTCCAGGCGGTGTCTGGGAAAAAAAGGGGAGAGCAGGAATGTGAAGAGAGGCAGAACACAGCATAGGATCCAACAAGGAGTGGCACGGCCTGTGCTGTCCCTGGAAAAATGGGATAAGGTTCCCCCCAACCCTCTTCCCCAGGCTGAACCCTTGCAGCTCTCTCAGCCACCTCTGGTGCTCCAGCTCCTGCCTCAGCTCCGTTCCCTTCCCTGGATATGCTCCAGAGAAGTGGGAATCCACAGGATCAAACACTGGATACCTGGTATCCTGCCTGAATGGGATGCATGGAATGAAGCTCCTGTTGCCATCTGGCAGCTGCTCCATGTGCCAGGATGTGCAACCACTCAGAGGAAAAAGTTACCTCAGGATGAGGGAGTGGGAATGGCACAAGAGACCCTGAGCATTTCAGACATGCAATTTTTCCCAATCACAGAATCATGGAATGCTTTGGGTTGGAGGGACTTTTAGGATCATTGTGTTCCACCCCCTGCCACAGAAGTAGGGACTGATTCTGTGCCAGAGTGCCAAGCTCCCTGAAGTCCACAGCTCCTCATTTTTTTAGGGAAACAGAGACTTAATACAGGTCAGAGCAATCCAAAATAAAACACCACTCCATTTTCTGGCAGGGTATCCATCAGGATAAGCCTAAGCCCAGGAAGTGGGTTCTACCTGGAATGAAAAGATGCTGGCAAAGTAATATTTGATTGAAATAGGAGTAGATTCCACAGGGATCCATCAGCTCCTGCCTGAGTATCTGAAAACAGCTCTCCATAATCTTTCAGAAGAGGAATGGGAATATGAGTGGCAGTAGGGCTTTGCTCCACCAGATTCCAAAGAACTCCAGAATTTCCCTGGTGGGGTTCAACAACCAAGTGTACTCTGAGCTGTTTTCCCTCCATCTTTTCCCAAATTCTTTCTTCCTAACACCAAACTTCCACGCATTCAGTAGTGGCTCCAAAACTCCTTGGAAAAGCCTTGGCACAGAGAGCCAAACCTTTTATTGGGTTGTTTCTTTTTCCCAGCCCACACACACCACGATGCCACTGGGAAAGGAAAACTACCATGGGACACAATCCAGCCAGGCAGAGAACTTCCTCATCTATTCCTTGGAAAGGATTTCTTTCAGCGAGAGGGAGAAGTTGGGAATGTATCCTTTGGAAACAATTGTTTGAGCAGTGAACAGTCACATTTGATGTTTGTTTTTCACATCATAGCCCACAGCGTTTGCTTGTTAACAGCTGTTAACATTCCCCTTCCAGAGGGAAAATCCATGAACAGCAGGAACAAGCTCTCCATAAATGCTGCAGGCCTGGAGGGAAAAACCCAGCTAAGGGAGCAAGGCCTTCACTCAGCTTTCTGGGATCTCAAAATTCCCCACAGAGGAGATAATTTTGGGGTTGGTTTGAATTTACTTGTGCAAGCTGTGGAGCTGAGATTTGCTTTGGAAAAATCATCACAGAATTCTGGAATGGTTTGGGATGGGATGGAAGAGACCACAAAGCCTATCCAGTTCCACACCCTGCCATGGGCAGGGACAGCTCCCACTGTCCCAGACTGCTCCAAGCCCCATCCAGCCTGGAACACTTCCAGAGATGAAGTAGCCACAGCTGCTCTGGGAAAACCATTCCAGTGCCTCACCACTCTCACAGGGAAGAATTTTTTCCTTGGATGCAGTATTACATCCACAGTATCATCCTTCTTATCTTCCTGGGAATGTCCTGATTCCAAGCAGCAATCACCATGCTAGGCACTAATTCCAAATATTCCAGGCCACTGTACCATATTGGAAAGGTCAGGAGGAATATCTGGCATTCCGCAAAAAAACCCAGGCTCCTTCCCACAGAACTTGATGCATTATCCTTAGAACAGCCTAGTTTTCCCTCAAAAGGGCCCTCATTCCAAGTTATTGGAATACAGAAAATACACAAACTCAATGAAAAATGTGTAAATTTAGAGAGTGTTTTTTGAAAGCCTCGTTTTTTATCCCTTGGATCCTGATGCCCTCCAAAACCACATTCCTCAAAGACAGCCACATATCAAAGGAAACAAAGCCTGTTTGTGTTGTCCCCTACTGGAAAAAAATCCTTCAGAAAAAGCTTTGCTTGGTGAAAAAAAGCTTTTTCTCTCTGCATCTGGGGAGCTCCAAGATGGAATCAATTCTTAATTAAAAGATCTGACTGCCAACACAAATGGAATTGTTCCTTGGCCAAGACTAAATAGGAGAAACCTCAGGGCAAAAGGTTGGATTTTGGAGAGGAAAATAAAGGACGAAAGGGGATTTGGAAGGAGATGCTGCCTCAAAGTAAGGAAAATTTAAGCACACACTCACTGTTTCCACAGAAAACACTGCTATGGGATATGGACAAACAGGTTGTTGTGGTCAGCAGGGTCCACGAGGATCCACAAATCCAGCAATTAAGGCAGAATCCAGCTGGATTCTGCATGGCTTTGCCTCCTTTAGATGCAGGTGCCCACACACAGCACGTGACAAGGAGCTGCATTCTCCCAAAATCCCCTTCAGCAGAGCAGAATGGTCCCTGCAGCAAGGCAAGAAAGGCAAGATCCCAAAAAAGCAGGACACCCTTCCAGAAACCTTGCCCTGGGAAGCTGTGGTTGCCTTATCCCTGGAAGTGTTCCAGGACAGCTTGGACAGAGCTTGGAACAACCTGATATAGTGGAAGGTGTACCTGCCTATGGCTTAAAGGGCTTTAAGATCCCTTCCAGCCCAAACCATCCTGGAATTCCCTGGCTTGAGGAGGATTTTGAGCCTGTAGCCATGAGGACACAGCATTGGTAATGCTGAAACCCTCCATTGGTTCTTTCCTTAAATCTTTGTGTCCTTGAATAGAAGGGAAATTCTATTCTAGTCTGCTGTGAAATTCTAGCCTGCTGTGAAGACAAGCTGGAAGAGCTGGGAATGTTCAGTCTGGACAAGACAAGGCTCCAGAGAGATCTTAAGTGCCTAAAGTGGATCCAAGAGAGCTGAGAGAGACTTTGGACAAGGGGCTGCTGGGACATGACAATGGGAAATGGCTTCCCACTGAGAGAGGGAAGATAGGACATTGGGAAGAGATGCTTCCCTGTGAGAGTGGTGGGGCCCTGGAACAGATTTCCCAAAGAAGCTGTGGATGCCCCATCCCTGGAAGCGTCCAAGGCCAGGCTGGAGCTACCTTATCAAGTGGAAGGCATCCCAGCACATGACAGGGGTTGGAATTCAATGACATTTAAGGTCCCTTGCACCCAAGGCAGCCCGGAATTCTGGGATCCCATGGAATGCTGCCTTACCTTAGATTGTAGGTCCTTAGGTTGCGCTGCCGGCGCTTGGTGGCACGGAGCTTGACGAAGGTGCGTCCCGTGGGATCAAAGACACACAGCACAGTGATGCACACACTCAGGATCACCACCCAGTTGCACACCACCATTCCTGAAAAAAAAACCAACCAGGAGTCACATGCTCCAGCCCTTACTTCCCAACAGAAATTCATGCAGCAAAAGGAAATCCTCTGGAAAGGCTTTTAAGCCACAGCTGGATGAGTCTTCCGGCTGTTTTATGGGGCCATTAAATGCTCCCTGAGTATCCGGGACTGCACCATTAACATCATTCCCACCAGGAGAACTGGGAAAGGCTTCCAGGAAAACAGTAAAACCATTCTGAAGGGGAAAAGCGGAATTTACAGACTACCCTTCCTTGGGAACACAGACCCCTGCCTGAGTGCCGGCAGCACAGGCGGATGAATGGAACGACTGTTCTGAGCAATAAACAGGAAAACAAGCCCCACATTGACAGCTCCCATCCACTTCCCAGAGTCAATCGGCACAGGAGGGAATGAAGGATGCCCGCCAATCTGTCGGAATGCTCCCAGGCCACATTCCAGCTCCGTACCCAGGGTGACACTCTTGGCTGTGATGTCGTTGCAGGAGGTGTAGTACTGTGTCAGCCACACGATGCCCACGATGGCGTACACAAACTCAATCACCAGGATCGCTGGAAAAAAAAGGGAACAGCACAGATGACAGCAATCTTTTTTTCCCTAAGGATGACCTCCTCTCCCTATTTTTTCACAAGGAATAAGTATCAAAACACTTTGGAAGGGGATGTGTAAGGAGATGAGCCCAAAGTGCGACATGTTCCAAACAATTCCAAAAAAATGGGATCGTGGATGGGTCAGCGCCCTTGGTTTTGTCACAGGTATGAATCAGAGATCCAGACCTTCCTCCCACGCTGCTGGAAAGACTCCTTGAGGCAGCAGGAATGACAGGACCCAAACCTTAACTACCTCAGACAGCTGGCCTGACTCACAGATCCAAAATATGTGAGTGTGTGGATCCAGGATTAATCCTGCTCACTATGCTTAGCAAACATTCTCAGCACCTTTGCCACCCTTCCCATAACAGTTCCAAGGAGACAGCACCTAAGGAGCTCCTCAGTTTTGCATGTGACTGATAGCAAACCAGAAACTGGGGATTAACAGTGCTCCCCTGGAACAAAAAAGCTGGAAAACTGCTCTGAAGTGCCCATCCTCCCACTTTCTCCCCAGAATTCCAAAGAACACATGGGCAACCAGGTGTGGAGAAAGTGAGCACCTTGCTTGGGATTGCCTAATTTTGGTAGAACTGAGACTAAATCCAGCCTGGCTTATACCACTCACCCTCCTTATTCTCCTGCTGGCACAGAGTCTTTCCATAAGAGGTTTCAATACAGACCTGGAAAGACCAATTCCAGGAGACAGAGCTTTCCTGGGCAAGGAATCAGGGCTGGGACTGATTCCTGATGAACCCAATTTATGCCTGAGTTAGGTTTTGCTTGCCTTGGCTCCTCTCCCCTTTGCCTGCTGCAGGGCAGGAGCAGGGATGAGACATTCTCAGGTTCACACTGGAGTTAATTCCCTAAATTCCTCTGCATTAAACAGCACATGCTTAAATTGGGATAGTCACATGGACTTTGCCCACGCACTGGTCACGCTCCCACTTCCATCAGCACAACTGATCAACCACCAGGAGCAAAATACACAGGAAAAAGGGAATACAAGATCCAGAAACCAGAGGAAATCCCACTCCTCAGCACACAGAGTTTAAGGAACAAGAAGGGATGTTTTGGGTGGCAGGAAAACCTTTCTTTGGATTCTCCCTACCTCCTCTGCCCCACTTAGTCTGGTTTTAACACAAACTGCCAGGCTCTACATGCTTCCCTAGGGAGACTGGCTGGGAGGCTGGAGAGGGAGATTTGTTTGCTGTTTGCATTAATAACTTGCACTGAGCATTCCAAGTCTTCCAGACTGAGCTTTCAAGCAAGGTTATCCCTATTTTAGTAAATTCTGCAGGAAAACAACCCAGCAAAAAGCAGGGATGCAAAACCAATGGGATGATTTGTTTGGAATGGGTTTGGTTCTGCATCCCCCAAGATTTTTCTCTTAAAACCTTCATTTGGCACAGAAAAATCAGATTAAATTTCTGCACCTGGAAGGCAACAGAACCCAGGGAAAACAAGCTGAAAGGGAATGAGGGATCAAGGAATAATTCTCTTCCCTGCTCCAGTTTTTGGAGCGGGAGTGAGATGGGAATTGCTTATAGGAAGAAAAAGGGAGTGAGCAGGTGCAAAAACTATTTTCCTCCCAGTGGCTTGGAGGGATGGATCAGGTGAGTCAAGAGGCAATACCTTGGGGTCAGAACCTTTGGGATTTATGCCTCTATCCTTGGAAAACATAGAAACATAGAGGGGAAAAGACAGACAGAAGGGGAGCAGATTCCATGAGAGGAAAAGGAGGCTATCTGGGACATCGCCCGCCAGTCTGACAGCCGTGACAAGGCGCAGCCTATGGATTCATCGGGATGCACGGCACATCCTGGCAGCCATCTGGCCGTGCCAGAGAAGCCGTGCTAGGCAGGGAGAGGAGGCTCCAGGGAAGAGCACACGGAGGCGCAGAGGCTCCGGCCGCTTACCCAGTCGGACATAGAGGACGTACTGCATGGAATCCCGCGGCTCCGTGTACAGGATGCTCCCGCGCATGCTCAGCCAGATGATGGCCAGCTCGGCGATCATGCAGCTCAGCAGGATTCCCAGATAGCCCCGGCCGTGGTCCACCAGGTTCAGGGAGCACGTCTCGTTGGGATTGTACACCAGCCCGAAGAGCACCACCGAGAGAATCACAAACCTGCCGGGCAGGAAAGCCAAGGGAAACCATGGAATATCCCACAGCTCCTTACATCAATCTTCATTTGGGCCCCAAATCCCCATAAGCCATCCAGAGGCCCTGCTAGCCCCATCAGAACCATTTCATCCATGCCACGTTATCCTATGGGATTTACCACTCCACAGAAGTTGTGGCTGCCACATCCCTTGGAAGTGTTCAAGTTGGACAGGGCTTGGAGCAATCTAGTGGAAGCGGTCAGTCTTTGAGGCCTCTTCCAGCCCAAATCATTCCAGGATTCCATGCTTGTTGTTCCTGAGCTTCTGTACAGAAATGCAGCCCTAAATTCTAGTAGAGAATCTTGGGTGGCACAGGAGGATAACAAGAAGCTCTGGTCAGGCTCTTTGGAACTAGGCTAGACCTCAGAACAGAGCTAAGCTATGAAAACAGAAGCTGGAAAAATATTTGTGCTCATCAGGAATGCCCCAACCAAACTTTCTGGCCCCATGTAGAAGTGCAGGGAGATTTTCCATGCCAGAAATAGCCAGAAGAATGCCTGGGTGAATTCCAAGCATCCTTGTGCCCTTCTCACTTACCAGGTGGTGTGAAGGAGGAAGAGGAAGACGGCTGGCAGAACCAGGTCATCGCTGCCCACAGACCAGCGCCGGCGGAACACGACAATCCCTGGCATGGCTGGCAGGTCCCGGGAAGTTCAGCAGGCACAGCACTCACCTCCTGGAAAAGAATGGAAGCAAAGCTGCTGCTGAGCCTCTCCAGCCTCCTCTGGAGACCCCCACAACCTGGGAGCCATCCTGGTTTATCCCAGAGCTGCTTCCTTCCAGCACCAGGGGGCATGGCATGCTCGGGAAGGAAGGCTGGGAGTTGAAGGAGTGGGAAGTATTACGTGAAGCCGGTGTGTAACTCATCCAGCTCCACTTCATAGGATTACCTGGAATCCTGTTAGGCTGTGATAGTGAGCAGCCACTGTGGGATTTGGGACAGGTCACCCTGGCCTCAAATCTCTAGAAAACCCTATTAGTGTGTTTTTCCATGCACAAACCTGCTGCCAGGCTGTTGTTGTCAAACAATCCTCCCCCCAACACTTGACTCAGGAGGCCAAAATATCTATTAACAGCCAGTGGCAGCATCTGGCTCCCAACAGCACTTCCAGTGAGGATATTGACTCCTAGGAGATCTCCCCCTGGACCAGCCTGAGCATCCTGCTAGCTCCACATCTCCGTTGCATTCGTACCAGCCCTGACAAGCACAACCAATTCCAAGGTGGAAGATTGAGGAACTGCCGTTCCTCCCTGGGTTTTGTTTGTGCTCCTATTTTTAGGGCTTCCCAAACCCTTTGGAAAATAGAAACAGGAGTGGTGCAAAGTCACGAGACTGCACAGGGTGCTCCAGCCTCCTCCAGCACAGCCATCCCACTCCAAGCTGGCTGTACTCCAAGCTGCTCCAGAGGGACTCTGGCAGCACACCTTATCCCACTGCTGCCTTCCTGGCTCAACACATGACCCACTACCAGGAATTTTCCTTGGTTTTGCCAAATCCAGGAGGGTGTCTGTACTCTGGCCACAGCCACCAAGGATTTCTGGATTTGGGGATCAGTCCTGTCCCTCTTTCCATGCCCTAATCCCTGTCCCACCTCTTACTTGTGCTACCAGGGAATGCTATACCTCACCTGTGCCTCTTTGCTCCAAACTCTCCCAGTTGATCCATCTCAATTCCCAACTCCACCAACTTCCCAGTTCCCACATCCATGCACTGCTGCTGAAGTGCTCCACCCATGGCCTGTGGTGGCCATGCTGTTCCAAAGCTGCACTTGCAAATCTGTAAGTGCTCTTGGATTCTTCCCTCTGCGAGCCCAACAGCACACTGCCAGGTCAGGACAAAGTGTCTTCATCCATTACTTACAACAGGATTTCCCACAGCATTCCCAAGGGAATATCACCTTTGATACTTCCCTGTACGAGGCAAAAAAAAAACCACACTTGGATATGATGCCCCTAATTTAGTGCTGTGGGTAAAACAAATTAGAAAGGGGAAGACATCCATAGAACTCCAGCATCATTTGGATATGAAGGGAGCTTCAAGATGATCCAATTCCATCTCCCTTGTCATGGATTGGGACACCTCCCACAAGTCCAGGCTGCTCATGATTTAAACTAAGTTGAACCTTCCAGATAACACAAATGTTAGATTTGAGACAGCCCATGGCACCAATTCCTGCCCTGTCCCACTAAATCCAACCCAGCAGTCTGATGTGGTTACCCCACCACTTCCCAGAATATCCCAAATCCAGAGTCACCTCCTCTTCTGTGCAGACACCCACAGCCACTGGAATGGATCTTCCAACCCGTTTCAGCCACCCATTACCGAAAACCTACACAATCCCCTCAAATTCCAGGAGATTCCATAGTTAATATGCTGCATCCAGCCTGTCATTCAGTTGAAGGAAATACTCCATTCCACAAACAAAGCAAATGCGAAATTCCAATGCCATTTGGATTCCCACTTCCTCAGCGCAGAATAATCAGAGCACTGGGTACATTCCAGCTCTACCTTCACTCCTCTGGCCATCTGGAGACTCCCTCCCAGCCCCATCGTGCCTGTCATTCACCACCCAGGATAGCTGGGATATCACAAACCCTGGATACACCTCCAGCACTTCCCAGCCCAGCTCCGTTCCCGTCATCCCTTGGCTGCATCCCACCAACGCGCTTTCCAGAACTCTTTCACCCCTCCTGTTGGGCTCTCCCAGTTCCCACCACCCTCTCCCAGTTTGAGAAGCAGGATGACAATGACAGCAACAAATATCCAATGTGGATTCCTTATCCACAGCAACAGATGGGGACAGAGCAGAGAAGCCTGTCACTCATTGTCACATATGGGAATACTCACTGTGGAACTGTCACTCCATTTACCAAGCTCCCAGGGCAGGAACATTCCCAATTTATTCCCAAAAATTCCTGAATTTAAACCAGGTTTGGGGGTTTGCCCCTGCTTTGGAAAAGAGGGATATGACGGAAGGCCTGAGACTGGAAAACCCACCAGAAAAAGCTCTCACTGTAAGGACTCTTCAGCTTCATTCCAGCACAGCATATCCCAGGAATTGTGTTTTAAGATGCTGAAGATATGATCCAGCAGAGGAATTGGGAGGAACCGGAAGGCTGGAGTGCAAAGAGCCCTGAGACCACTGACCCCGGCTCTGCGACAGCAAGAATCCTCACACTGTCCCTAAAACTGCTGGAAAGAGCCAAACATTCCCAGGATCTTGAAAGCCGAATCCCAGTACAAGCAGCACCAAGCTCCCAACACTGAAATAAGGGAAGCACATGCACAGGGAGTCCCCTCAGAGCCGGGCAAGATCTAGGGAAGCAGGAATCTTACATGGCATGTGGTCCAGCCGCTGCGCATCCTTCTCTCCCAGAAGGGGATTTCAGGAAAAGTGCATATCCAGGGAGACAGGCATCACAAGCTCAGGAGGGAACAGCAAACTCTTCCTGCAGCCATTGAAAATCCCACTCGGCAAAGGGAAGCACGGCATGGGAACTGGGATCTGCCTGCCGACAGAGCCGGGCATCATCCTCAGAGCAACTCCCTCCCTGCACCTCATTTATCCACCGGGAATGCCGAGAGCCAGAGGTCGTGACTCCCCCCTTCCACACCCCCCAGCACCCTCTGGAAGGAAGTGACATCATCCCTATTCTGAGGAGATTGTACGTGGATTGTGGGAAGGAGGACTTGGGAGCGAGAGCGGGCGATGCTGTCAGAGATGCGGAGCCGGGAGAGGAGGAAAGCCCTCGAGCGGCACAAACCTCCTCCCTCTTCCCACCGAGGAACCGGGAGCGCTGCCGGGAGCCCTCGGACACAGCCACGGCACCGGGCTGGGAAAGGCTCCTGGCCGTGGACTCTCCAGTGAATAGCCAGGGGGAGGGGACTTGGATGGGACACAAAAGGGACACACAGAGGGGGCCACTCCGGGCACAGAAAGGAGAGACTGTTCCAGAGGAGCCTCTCCCGGCCTTTCCAGCCGTTAATTCCGTGTGACATGCTCTGGGCTATGGCAGGATGTGGGGGAAGGGGAGAATTAGCTGTCTGTAGGGAAAGGCTTAGGGAAAAGAGCAAGGGAGAAAAACGCTAGTGAGACAACATTCCAGCTAAACCTCGGAGACTTAGGCTAATCCAACAGCCCATCCCATCTGACATAAGCCTCCTTAGGGAGAAGTACACCAGGAAATAAAGCTGAAGGAAAAAGGCTGTGCCTGGATCCTGCATGCCAGGAACCCACCCACACCACAGCAACACCCCCAAAGTCACCCACTCCCTCCACCCAAATCCAGGCAGGAATTGCTCCAAGCTCCCAGAATCAAAGATTCCCGAGGCACCCACACAGCCCAATGCTCCAACCCCTGCAATCCTCATCCCTGCATCCACAGGCTCACAATCCCCTGCAATTCTCCATCCCTATATCCAAAGGTTCACAAACCTCTGTTATTCCCCATCCTTGCAAATCCTCATTCCTACATCCACAGGCTCACACCCCCCTGCAAATTCCCATCCCTGCAATTGCTCGTCTCTGCATCCACAGGTTCACAACCCCCTGCAATTCCCCATCCCTATATCCATAGGCTCACAAACCTCTGTAATTCCCCATCCCTGTAAATCCCCATTCCTGCATCCACAGGCTCACAATCCCCTGCAATTCTCCATCCCTATATCCAAAGGTTCACAAACCTCTGTTATTCCCCATCCTTGCAAATCCCCATTCCTACATCCACAGGCTCACACCCCCCTGCAAATCCCCATCCCTGCAATTGCTCGTCCCTGCATCCACAGGTTCACAACTCCCAGCAATTCCCCATCCCTGCAATTCCCCATTCCTGCATCCACAGGCTCACAACCCCCTGCAAATTCCCAGTCCTGCATCCACAGGTTCACAACCCCTTGCAATTCTCCATCCCTGCATCCAAAGGTTCACAACCCCCTGCAATTCCCCATCCCTGCATCCAAAGGTGCACAACCCCCTGCAATTCCCCATCCCTGCATCCAAAGGTTCACAACCCCCTGCAATTCCCCATCCCGGCATCCACAGGCTAACTCAGGATTCCCACTTCCATCACCCCAAAACCTCCCCTGGTTTCCAATCTCCTGCTCTTCAGAGCAAAAGATGGGAGGCCAAACCCAGGCTGAAATCTGATCTGCTGGGAGTTTTTTCTCCCTCTGCCAGATCCTTGGGGATGTCTGCATGGAGGAAGCCCGGTTATCCCAATATTCCTTCCCTACCTTCTCCCTCAGGCACCTGATGACACTTTCACAAGACCCAGGTATGACAAAGCAATCCCATCTCATTTCTGCCAGCATCCTCTTCCAGCTGGCCTCTGCAAATTCCAGAGTCCTCCAGGGTGACTCAACCAAGGAAATTCCCTCAAAATAAGCCAGATGTTTGCCTTCACTGCTCAGGGCTACAGAATTCACAAAAAATATTTGATTTGTAAGTCTCAGTGGATGGTTCCAGGTGTCGCTAGAAGACAGAGCCCTTTGCTGCTGACAGAAATCCAACACCATGTCCTGGAATGCTGACCCTCCCATGATCCCTTTCCCTTGCTAAAATGTCACCATGTTCCCCAGGAATGTCCCAACCTGCTGTCCCACTGGGAAGTTCAAGCCCAAGCTTGCCAGCTCCCAGCTCAACTTCTTAGGAAATGCAGCAGGAAAAGACCAAAGGAGCTTTGTGTCCTGCCACCTCCCACAGCAGCTTTTCCTCAGGAGTGATTTTCTGCTCCAGAGCAGAGGTGCTTCCCTTCTCCCTGAGAGCACATCCAGGTCACCTTGTCCAGGTGCTGGAGACACCTGTCCTGAGGGCACAGCATGGATGTGCTGCATCCTGTTTTTTCTCTCTGCAGGATAACAGTTCACTTTCCTAACCAATGGAATTGTGGTCCCATCAAGTCACCCCAAATACTTCTTTCCCTCACCAACATGTCCCACATGGAATACGGGCTTTCCACTCCAGGCTGGATCATTCCCTTGCAGCTCCCACCAAGCACTTACTGGACTTGAAGGAAATCATCAATTCCAGCTTGGATCCAACCCCATCGGGCCCCGTCCAGCTGTTCTGAAGGGTTTTAAATGAGGCTCTTTCTGTTTCTGAGTTGGTTTCTCACAATCTGGGAATTGTTCTCGCCTTCCAGGGAGAAGGGGGATGGGTTATATCCATACAGAATGTCCTGAAGCTGGCCAGAGGAATTTGCATGGAGTAGCTCTGCTCTGGAGCCAGGCTGGGAGAGCTGGCATGGCTCAGCCCAGAGAGGAGAAAGCTCCAGGGAGCCTTAGAGCCTCTTCCAGTGCCTAAGGGGGCTCCAAGAGAGCTGGAAAGAGACTTTGGAATAGGGCATGGAGGGACATGACAAAGGGGAATGGCTTCCCACTGACATGATGTGGGTTTGGATCGGATATTGGGAAGAAATCCTTCCCTGTGAGAGTGGTGAGGCCCTGGAATGGATTTCTCAGAGAGGCTGTGGCTGCCTCAAACCTGGAAGTGACAGGTCCAGGCTGGACAAAGCTTGGGGCAACCTGGGATAGTGAGAGGTGTCCTCGTCCACAGCAGAGGGTAGAATGGGATGAGCAAGCATTTCATGTCCTTTCTAAACCAAACCATTCCAGGACTGAATACCAAGAGGGGACAAATTCCATGGCACCAAAGGAAGACGAGTCCTTTCTGCCTTTTCCAAGGGGCAGGAAGTATCTGCTGCAAGCAGTGCCTGCAGAAATTGCAGGGAAAGCTCTTCCCAGGGGGAAGAAGGCACAGCAGCTGCCGGAACCTTGTGAGAGCTCTGCTCTCACCAGGGGTGATTAAGGGAACAGACCCCTACTTTAAGGAATATTCCATGGATTCATGCAACTTTTAAGAGCCATATTTATATGCAAATCTCAGGCAGAGATCACTGGCAAAAATCAACGGGGATTAGAATTTTGGGATATCTTCATGGCTACTTTGAAGATTCTCCTTGATAATCTCCCGTTTTCCAAGGAGAATGGAATAAAATGAGTCACTGGCAGAGCCAGGGAATGAAGCTTGAAGACAAGAAAGGTTCAAACAGCCTCCTGTGGCTTGGCACACTTTGGATGTGGCTCCCTCGGGATAAAGCCATGGCACCACAATCACCTCCACAATGTCATTGGGACAGAACTAATGGGATGAGCTTGGATCTGGAACTCCAGCACTGCCCACTGACACAAATTCCCAAAATAATCTCGGAGTATCAACTGACCTTCAAAACACAGGGGAACAAGAACTTACCTGTTTGGCCCACCAGTTTAACCCTGAAATCCTGGAATAAATTCCTTGTAACTGCAATGGTGACAGACACAAGATTGGTGTAACCACTTCCCAATTGGCCCAGCACTGATCCATCTCCATCCCACCTCATTCCTCCCTCAGACTCCTTCCCAAAGCCCCTTTGCCATAAACACATCAAGGTGCATGTTCTCCTTGGTGAAATCCATCCCCTCTTTCCTCAACTCCAAAGTCTCCTGCCTTGGGTAGAAACAGGTCTCATGAATCCCACATTGCCCTCAAATATGCAAGACATCTCCTTTCTGTTACATTGGGAATGATTAATTTTTCATAAGGAGACTCCATAATGCATCTTTTTGGCATGGACTTGACCACAGCAGTGGAGTTTTCAGGAAAAATGGGACTATCCTGCAAACCCTAATGGATTTAGTGCAAGAGGGTGGGCAAATCCCAAAGGTGCCACTCCCAGCACTTGTTCCCAGTTAAAAGCAGGATAAGGGATTCACTGAATTAAAGAGAAACAAGGAAATTCTCCACTTTGGAATGCACCTCCTCTGAACAACTGGGACCAGTTCTGAGACTGTTCCCAGGGATCCCAGTCCAACAAACCAGTGACACTGCACATCCCAATGGTTCTCCCTCCTGGATATCCAGTGACATCCTTGCACTACCCCATGGGCCAGGATATGTCCATAGCATCACCATGAAGGCTGGAAAAGCCCTCCAAGATTGAGTCCAACCACTCCTCCAGCACTTCCAAGGCCACCTCTATCCCCATGTCCCCAAGTGCCACATCCACATGGCTTTTAAACCCCTCCAGGGATAGCTCCACCACTGGAGCCTGCTCCAATGCTTTAAATAACCTTTTCCATTGAAGAATTTTCTCTAATATCCAACCTAAACCTCTCCTGGTGCAATTTGAGGCCATTTCCTCTTATCTTGCCACTTATTCCCTGGAGCAGAGCCTGATCCCACCTGACTCCACCCTCCTGTCAGGGATTTGTGGAGAGTGAGAAGATCCCTCCTGATCCTCATTTTTTCCAGCCTGACTCCTCCAGCTGCCTCTTGTGTTCCAAACCCTTCCCTGGACATGCTCCAGCACATGTCCCCCTTGATGAAGAATCCACAGGGCTTTATTAATTCCAGACCTCAGCAACCATCCCTGGGCATAAAGGAAGAGGTTTGTAGGGGTAAGTCCATGAAGACAGGGATCACTGTGAGACATTCCAGCCTCCCAAATGAAAGGGAGGATAATGCTTGGAAAGGGATGGAAAAGCCTCACTCACACCTCCAAGATTCCCAGGACTTTGCTCCTTGACCTTGAAAAGAGCACACCTTAACTCCAGAGCTACAGACTCATCAGCCTGTGGAAAATCCAA